CTGTTTGAAACTCCTCCCCCCCCCCCAGGAAAAAACTGTTAATACTCCCTTCCCCCCGGAAAATAACTGTGTTATTCTCCTCTCCCCCCCCCGGAAAATAACTGTGTTGAATACGTCCTCCCCCCCAGAAACTAAATGTGTTGATTCGTCCCTCCCCCCCCGGAAACAACTGTGTTGAATATGCCCTCTCCCCCCCCGGAAACAACTGGTTGATATCGTCCGACTCCCCCCCCGAAACTACTGTGTTGTATCGTCCGTCTCCCCCCCCCCCGGAAAATAACTGTGTTGAAATTTTTGTCCGCTCCCCCCCAGGAAAAATAAATGTGTTTAAAACGTCCCTTCTCCCCCCCAGGAAACAACTGTTTTTAAAATTTGTCCCTCTCCCCACCAGGGAAAATACTGTTTAATTCGTCCGCTTCCCCCCCGGAAACTAACTGTGTTGAATTCGTCCGTCTCCCCCCCCCCCCCCGGAAAATAAATGTGTTTAAAATCGTCCGTCCCCCCCCCAGAACTAACTGTGTTAATTCGTCCCTCCCCCCCCAGGAAAAAAAACGGGAAAACCCCCCGGGCCCCCCAGAAACAAGGAAAACGGCTCCCCCAGGAAAATAACTGTGAAAACGTGTTCCCCCCCCCCCCCCCCCCCAGGAAACTACTTGGGTTTTAATACGTCCGGGTCCCCCCCCCCCCAGGAAACTAAATTGTTAATATCGTCCGTCTCCCCCCCCCGGGAAAATAAATTGTTGAAACGCCGTCCCCCCCCCCAGAAAAAAAACTGTGTTGAAACGTCCTCTCCCCCCCCCCCCCGAAACAAATGGTTGAATACTCCCTCCCCCCCCAGGGGAAAATACTGTTTAATTCGTCCGTCTCCCCCCCCCCGGAAAATAACGGTTGAAAATGTCCGTCTCCCCCCACCCCCAGAAAAATAAATGTTTTTAATTCGTCCCTCCCCCCCCCCAGGAAAATAAATTGTTGAATTCGCCGCTCCCCCCAGGAAAATAAATGGTTGAATATCGTCCGTCTCCCCCCCCAGGAAAAATACTTTTTGAATTCGTTTTTTCCCCCCCCCCCCCCCCAGGAAACTAAATTGTTGATTCGTCCCTCTCCCCCCCAGGAAAATAAATGTGTTTTAATATCCCGTCTTTCCCCCCCCCCGGAAAATAACTTGTTAAATCGTCCGCTCCCCCCCGGAAAAATAACTGTGTTGAATATCGTTTCCCCCCCCCCCCCCCCCCAGGAAAATAAATGTGTTGAATATCGTCCGTTCCCCCCCCCCCCCCCCCCCCCCCGGAAACTAAATGTGTTGAATATCGTCCGTCTCCCCCCCCGGAAACTAACTGTGTTGAATATCGTCCCCTCCCCCCCAGGAAAATAACTGTGTTTTAAATCGTCCTCTCCCCCCCCGGGAAAAACTGTGTTGAATATCTCCCTTCCCCCCCCCCCCCCCCCCCAGGAAAATAACGTGTTAACGTCCTTTTCCCCCCCAGGAAACTAACTGTGTTGAATATCGTCCGTCTCCCCCCCAGGAAACTAACTGTGTTGAATATCGTCCGTCTTCCCCCCCAGGGAAAATAAATGTTTTAATTTCCCGTCCCCCCCCGGAAAATAACGTGTTGAATATCGCCGTCTCCCCCCCCCCCCGGGAAAATAACTGTGTTTAATATCGTCTTTTCCCCCCCCCCCCCCCCCCCAAACTAAATTGTTTTAATATCGGCTCCCCCCCCCCCCAGGAACTAACTGTGTTTTGAAAATTCCCGTCTCCCCCCCGGAACTAAATGTGTTTAAAATTCGTCCTCTCCCCCCCCCCCCCCCCCCAACTAATGTTTTGAAAATTTGCCGCTCCCCCCCCCCCCGAAACAACTGTGTTGAAAATCGTCCGTCCCCCCCCCCCCGGAAAAAACGGTTGAATTCTTTCCTCTCCCCCCCCCGGAAAATAATGGTTGAATTCGTCCTCCCCCCCCCCCAGAAACTAACGTGTTAAAATTTTCCGTCCCCCCCAGGAAACTAATGTTTTAATATCGTCCGTCTCCCCCCCCGAAACAAATGTGTTAATATCGTCCTCTCCCCCCCCCCAAAAAAACTGTGTTGATATCCCGCTCCCCCCCGGAAACTGGTTGAATATGCCTCTCCCCCCCCCCGGAAACTAAATGTTGAAAATTTGTCCGTCTCCCCCCAGGAAACAAATGTTTTAATTCGTCCGCTCCCCCCCCCCCGGAAACTAACTTGTTGAATTCGCCGTCCCCCCCCCAGGAAAAACTGTTTGAATACGTCCTCTCCCCCCCCAGGAAACTAACTTTTTATACGCCGTTTCCCCCCCGGAAAATAACTTTTTGAATTCGTCCCTCTCCCCCCCCCCCCCCCCAAACTAACTGTGTTGAATATCGTCCGTCTCCCCCCCAGGAAAAATACTGGTTGAATTTTCTCCGTTTCCCCCCCCCCCCCCCCCCCCCGAACTAAAGGTTTAATATCGTCCGTCTCCCCCCCCCCCCCCCCCCCCCCCCCCCCCGAAACTAACTGTGTTGAATATGTCCTCCCCCCCGGAAACTAATGTGTTAATCGCCCTCCCCCCCCCCCCCCCCGAACTACTGTGTTAATTCGTCCTTTCCCCCCCCCGGAACTAACTGTGTTTGGGAAAATCT